CGGAGTATTACTTGGTTATGACAGCCGTACCCACCCGGACGCCGTGCATGATCTAGCCATGAGCTTCGACCTCGGCGGGAGGCAGAACCGCGCGCAGGCTTATTTTATATCTTCAAATATCTCATGCATCCGACTTCATGTGGATTTCCGTTCGTGCGAACCGATAGACAAGAGAGTGGAGGCTTGTAATAGGAACTGGGGGAAAGGGGGGAGGGAGAGGGAAGGGGGGAAAGGGGAAGGAAAGCCCCCTCTCAATCAAGCGTCTGGCGATGACTCATCAGACGTTCGTAACAGACGCCGTGACGCAAGCGCCGACTCCTACGGACCCTCGGCGACGTTCGTCAGACTGTGGCGTCCCTGGAGCGCGTGCCGGTTGGTGGGCGGCGGTAATTTACAAAAGTAAAAGTATGTGGGTCAGTAGGGTGTGACCTAGAATACCTGTCATTTTTGCTCAGGTGACCTAGTTTGACTCTTTAGATGGGGTGGCGAGGGAGTGGGGAGGTGAGGGGGCCGTATGGGTGGTTACGGTAGTGGTGGTGGGGATGGCATGGGGGAGAGGGATGAGGGGACTTTAAGGGAGAAAGGACATGGGGGAGGGAGGGTAATGGAAAGGGGTGGGGGAGGGAAAGAATTTAGGGGAAGGGGAAGGTATGGGGTAGGGGGCAAAAGGAGAAAGATTTGTTAAGTATTTCCATTAAACATTGGTGTATTTTCTTCTTGTTTTTCTCTACTCTTTATTCTCGTCTGTGTTCCAGGTTTACTTCGTTTAATTTATGTGTAGCCTTTGATTCGTCAAATTTTACGATTCGTGTAAATCAACATAATTGTACGTTTACGGTGAGAATGTTTCCCTGATATTCAGGTCAGCAAGTGTCTTGGAAATTTAGCAATTGCTCTCTCTCTCTCTCTCTCTCTCTCTCTCTCTCTCTCTCTCTCTCTCTCTCTCTCTCTCTCTCTCTCTCTCTCTCTCTCTCTCTCACTTATTCTGTCACGCACGCACATACATACTTACTCTTTCATTCACTCACTCACTCATTCGTTCACCCACCCACCCACTAGCTCACCCACCCACTCCCTCACTCATCCACACACTCCTTCACTCACCCACACACTCCTTCACTCACCCATACACTCCCTCACTCACCCATACACTCCCTCACTTACCCACACACTCACTCACCCACCTACAAACTCATCCACTCACCCACACCTTCAACCATTCTCTTCCCTCCATTCACCACAGAGGAAAGCGCCATCCACATATGTAAATGCACATAAAACAACATAGAAACTACAGTCAAAGTGCAGCATCTGGATACATGATACAGATATGGACACCATCCCGTATTGAGAGCGGGGTGTGAGAATTATTTGCAAGATCACTCCATCGTTGAGTTGACATTCTTGTTAGATTGGTCCGCGCGTGCGAGTGCAGGTTGGCGGAGGTAGGATAATAGCGGCAGATTTTTTTTTTTTTAACTGTTATTACTTTTTTATCCTCTTCTTCGTTTTTTTTGTTGTTGTTGTTGTTTCTTGCTTTCTTTTTTTATTCGTTTTTGTTCTTACTTATTTTATTTTTATTTTTCGTCTTTTTTTTTATTCCTCTTCTTTTTTTTCTCTTTTTTTTATCTTTTTATTGTCCTAGAAACTATCGTTGAGGAAAATAATGTGTGAGAGTTTTACATACAAGTCTTGTAGTGTTGTATTTTCTCGTCTTCTCATGACAAGGGGTCATTTTGTTGAATTCGTTTAGTTTTTTATCGACTTTATTTTGTGAGGTTTTCGATTTTGAAACATAACGCAAGAAATCAATTTTAACTTTATTTTTTTGGCGTGACGTCAGTAATCCTATCATATTTTCCTTTCAAATCCGACGCTGATCCTGCTTTGGTTAATGTTTAAGAAAATCGCGTGTAAATGTTTATTAAAGCCCGAAGCTTCTGAGAAAAGCGAAAAGATGGGGAAGTAGAAGAATGAGGTGGGGGGGGGGAGAGGAGGATGAGGGAGAAGGTGATTGATGATGATGATGATGACGAGAAGGAGGAGGAGGAGGAGGAGGAGGGGGAGGAGGAGGGGGAGGAGGTGGAGGTGGAAAAAAGGGGAAGGAGGGGAGCAAGAAGAAGAAAGAAGGGAGAGGAGAAGGAGGAAAAGTAAACGACTTAGAAAGGGGGTATAGATAAGGAGAAGAAGAAGAGGAAGTTAAAGGGATAGAAGAATTCGTAGAAATAAAAACAAAGAAAGGAGTAGGAGGAAAAAGGAGCACGGAAGATAAAAACAACAAAAGGAGGAAAAAGAGGAAGAAGAAGCCTTGACGCCCGTGCCTGCAGGCGAGCGCCGATCCAAGCAACCCGTCACGTGAGAGGGCGGCGCAGCATCCGCCTCCCTCCGTCGCCCGGGGTTCGTTCGCGGATCATTAAATCCACAGCGATCCGTAAGTCCTCCTCCGGCGAGTGCACGAACGCCATTCGACGCTCTTAGGCAAGCGAGGAGAAGGACGGTC